TATATATATATATATATATATATATATATAATGATTTTAAGTAGTATAGTATTCATGTTATATAAATTTATACTTTTTATTTATTTGTTATATTATTATATTTATTATATTATAACTTTATATTATTTTTGATAAAATAAGTTGATATAATTTTGCAAATAAATATTTAATAATTATATTCTTTTTGTAGGACACTTTTATTTATATTGTAGTTTAGAAATATTTCAGTTGTATTTATAGAAAAATTGCTAAAGCTGTTAGGATGGCAGATTCATAGGAAAATAAGTGATGTTACATTTAAAAATTTACTTAAAGAGGATTATTTATATAACTTAATATTATTTAAATAAGAAAGATCATACAGAATGAATAAAATGCCATAATAACTGACATCATAGTAGAAAAGAAAAGGGTCAATTAGTAACAAAAAAGGAAGCATGTTAACAGTACTTTTTCTTAAACAGTTATTATAAATATACTGATAGAATATAACTATATAGTTCAGGGGGTGGATGATAGGAATTTACTGAAAATCCAAGATAGAAGCCACTTGAAACACTGGAGAAAGACGGTGGAGCTTCGGAGGAGGAGGAGATGTCTGCCGGCACCCAGGGCGAGATTCGGGTTGGCCCTTCGCACCAGGTTTGCCATATACCTTGAAAACCTTTTTTTGCTACATAGCTATATTGCACAATGTACCTAACTCAAGGCTTGTTCTCCTGAAATATATATTCTGAATGTATAGATAAGGGAGAGTTCATCATTGAAGCGCCAGGTAATTGTGATATCATTTTTTTCACAATACTTAATACATTCAATAGTAATTGCTCCTCATTTATGTATTTCACTCTTCCTTTATATATAACTAAAATCAGGACAATATTCAAATTATTTGTTATCCCTTGTTAAATATTTGTATATTATACAAAAAGTTATCGAAGGATTTGTAATTTAAAACAAAAATACTGATGATATGAACATAAGTACAATAAACTTAAAGACATGTATGAATTAAAAAAGCTAAACAATTCTAAATTAATAATTATTCATCAATATTAGTAAGAAATATTTATTTGATATTTAAAAAATTTTGTTTCTAAAACAAAATTTTTTAAATATCATAAATAATTAATAATTCATAAATACTACTTATAAATATATTATAAATATTTAAATATCTAATTGGTTTATATATCTTTAGGAAAAAAAATAAAAATGAAAATATACTAGTTCTTACAAAAATGTATAGTTATTTTACAGTGTTATTTAGTATAATTATTATATTTTTTTCAAGAATTGTTGAGAAAGGGCATGCACTTAGTTAAAAGATTAGAGTACCACTATTTTATTGGAATATCAATAGTGTTTTATTGGAATATTTTTAGTATTTGAAATTCATATTTATAGCAAAAATTTTCCTTCAGGAGTTGTAATCTTCATAAATATTTCAGAAGTTACGATCTTCATAATTATTATTCAGAATGAAAAAAGAAATTGTGGTATTGAAATAGTGCAAATACTTATTTATTCCTTAAATAGTTTGTTGTATGCCGATGGTTCAAATAACAATGATAGTTATTCTTTAAGTCTTACTTAATAATATAGCCACATCACTCAAATCACATCGCAAATACTATCCCTGAGATTGCTGCTATTGCTGGAAGACCCTAATTATGATGAAAGTTATTATGATGAAGCACTCTAACAATAATGTTATAGGATAATATCGTGTAAGTGTAAGATTATTTTTACAGTGGTTTTCAGTCACGGTGAAATTATAAAATATTTTACTTTTATGTAATAACCCATTGGTTACTTGAACCATCTTTGAAATATTGAAGTTAAAAACTATGTAAAGAATTATCAAATATTCATTTTTTACATTTTGTTCTCATCTTGCAAATGTTCTCATCTTGTTATATTTGTATGTGAAATAATAGTTTTTCATTCATTAGCTATAGTTTTCTTGATTAATATTCGTCTGCCTACACCAGAAAATAGATCATGTGAATGTGCTTTTTGTCTGAGTGCAGATTAACTTGTAGTTTTAATATGACTAATCGTTGTTAAATGTTACTAAGTCTTAATCTTAACACATGTGTATAATAATTTCATGTTCATATATATATATACACACACACATACACATATATATATATTATATATATATATATATATACACACACACATACGTATATTTATGACCATTAGTTTGTATACAAATATGAAAGTACTCACGCTACTTTTCGTACCAGTATTATAACAAATGGAACAGAATGGAAAAAAATTATACTGGCTCGTGTAGTTTCGAAAAGCAAGCCGGAGTATAGGTGCGTACAACTAACTCGCTTTGGCATTGGTGCTAACCACGCACAATCCCGAATTTTGGGTACAGGAATTGGTTTCTTGTCAGGCCCGTTTGCCTGAGTATCGGCCGGGTATACCTCCGGGAGAGCTGCTTCCTGATCCAGAGTTTTCCAAAGAACGAGAAGAGCTAAGATGGATTCCAGCTATGGCATTAGACGGGGATCTTCTCATGTATTTAAGGGCAGCTCGATCTATGGCTGCGTTTGCTGGTATGTGTGATGGAGGATCCCCGGATGACGGTTGTGTGGCTGCTTCCCGTGACGATACGACTATCAATGCTCTGGATATTTTACACGATTCTGGCTATGACCCAGGAAGAGCATTGCAAGCTTTGGTTAAATGTCCTGTACCTAAAGGCATCGATAAAAAATGGTCCGAGGAGGAAACTGTAAGTACAAGTTGCAAAATCTGGAAATTTTATTAAATAGCTTTTTTATCACAATGTACACATACACATTGTACGTACATGATTTTATAACTGGAAAAAGGCCAGAAAATTTAAATTAATTAATCATTGATCTGTCTGCAGAAACGCTTCGTCAAAGGTCTTCGACAATTTGGGAAAAATTTCTCAAGGATTAGAAAGGATCTCTTACCTCATAAAGACACGGTAACAAAATCTACAAGAGAGTAAAGGATTGGAAGAGTAGATAGCAAAGCTTCTTTTTTCCCCCCTTTATTTTTAGCCGGAATTGGTTGAATTCTACTATTTATGGAAGAAAACACCAGGGGCGAATAATAACCGACCTCATCGAAGAAGACGACAGGGCTCACTTAGGAGGATTCGTAATACGCGGAACTCGCGTGCTGGTACTCCTAAAGAAGAGGTACCAACTACGCCCAAAGATACTCCGCCAACTAGCGTCAATCAAAAGGAGCCTGTTTCAGAACCGGAAACTATACCTGTTGGGACACCCGCCAGCAATAACCCTGGTGGAGAAATTAGTTCCGTGACAGAAGACGATAATTCAGAAGAGGATAGTGACTCCAGAGATACAAATACTAACGGGGCAACGCATGCGTGCCACCATTGTTTTTCGTCTAATTCGAAGGATTATCAGATAGCTGGCAAAGATAGGTTATTGCTTTGTACGGAATGCAGAACACATTTGAAGAAGACGGGAGAATTACCGCCTGCACCACCGTATCTATTCCGCCCTGTGCCTGCGGAATCACCAGATAGCCCAGGGAGAATGCGTACAAGAAACAAGGCCAAAGAAACGCCTAGACCTGCAAGACCTCGACGTACAGGTGGAACCGATACTCCAGACCAGGAAAAACAACAGCAACAGCTACAAACGCCAGATAAGAGTAAAAAGAAATCTAGTAAACCAGAGACACCAAAGAAAGGTCAGAAACGACCTCAAACGGATGAAATAGATGAGGACAAAGAGTCTCAGAAGCGGAAACGTCCTGGTGAACGTCCTGAGAGTCCCTCGGAATCTCTCACAACTGATAGCAACTCTCTCATGGATGAACCTGAGAGAGAAGGAGAAGGTGATACGAATGAAAATCAACCTACTCCGGTTACAGTGCCAACTGAGGAACCTGTTAGTCCAGCAGTAACTACACCAGAAGAGCCTTCTGAACCAACTCCAGTTTCTACTCCTGTACCAATACCTATACAGACATTACCAATTTCTGTTCCTGTTATCCATACTTTAGAAAAGAAACCATTACTAGAAGAACAAGTAGAAACGAAGGATCAAACAGAAGATGTACCTTTAGCTATTAATCAGCCATTAAAATTGGAACCTATGCCGATAGAACCAGCCATGTCGCCATCTAACGAAGATATGAAAGAATCTGAACAGCAGCTGAACTTAACTACATCGCAGTCGTTAAATATGAACGATATGAGTCAAAATATGCCTCGTAATTTGTCACAGTCGATACAGAACAATGGTATTTGTGCGTCAACTGGTTCACAAGGCATACAAAACTCACAGATCATGTCACCGACACACCAAGGACTGCCACTTAATATGCAATATACATCTAATGTACCTCCTGTTCAGAATGTACCGCAAAACTTATCGCAGAATATGCAAATGCCGCCGAATATACCGCAGAATATGTCAAATGCGCAAAATATGGGACCAACGCAAAATCTTCGAACACACGGTGAAAATCTTTCAAATACTCAAAATATGCCTCAAAACATACCGGGACCACCATTGAACCTCAATATCTCGCAAAACATACCAACAAACATGACACAGATGCCTCAGATGCCGAATTCGCCACAACCACTTGGCTTAACCGTGATGTCTACTGAAAATAGAATGTCCGAACGAATTTCCGATGAGAGATTACCTTCAGAACGAATTAGAGATAGTAGGATACCTGATAGAATATCTGAAAGGATACCAGAAAGACCAGAAAATAATGAGTCTGAACGAAACGAGTCAAGCAATTTGTTCCAACCTATTCAGTCAAGTGGAATGTTGTCCATGGAAAAACCCTCTTCGATATATAATTTGGCTAGCACGCCACCAATGGAACCTCAAAATTTAAAAATCAAACAAGAGATCATTCCTCCTGAACCAGATCCTCTTCAAAGTTTAAAAGAAGTCAAAGTTCCTGGTTTTCAGTCTGGTTTTCCTGGCCCGAGTTTAGAGAATATTAAGAAAGATCCAGATAGTTCCAGTAAACCACCAACACCAAGCAAACACTCCATACCAAGTAGTCAACCTGTTGCTCAAATACAATCTGTCGCAGCTTCTCCAACACCGACTCTTCCACCACCACCTACTTCTATTCCTCAACCTGTAATGCATCCAGCCCAACAACCGAGTCCTCATATGGCTCATCCATTCCACCCACACCATCCCTTGATGCATCACTCATTATTTACCGCAATGCATCCATATCATCCTCATGCTTATCCAGGTTATGCTCCCGTTGGAGCTTATCCCTCGTTCCCACCATATCCTTATGGTCCAGTCCCCCATGCAATCCCGCCTCCATCTCCACAGAGGAGTCAAGAAAGTACAACAATGATGACAGCGCATCATTCAAGCACGAGTTCCAGTGTGACAACAAGAGAAGAAGGAGAGAATCTCATCGCTACGCATCATCACTCATCTACAATGCATCAAGCCACAGCGTTGCACCACGATAAACTGTTAACCATTTCTTCTCATAGTTCTCATAGTCATTCTTCGTCGCATAGTTCACATAATACTCAGCGCAAGCCATCACTAGTATCAGCCACGAGTCTAACATCTAGTAGTTCAGCGCATCATCACCATAGACCACCGCAATCCCAACCTTCAGTCGCTCCAGAACCTAAAATAGAACCTGATTTGGTAGAACAAGAACAAGAAGAGCTACCAAGTCCACGAGGTCCATCTCCAGAACCTCGAATCGAAGATTCTGAATGTCATAGATCACAGTCCGCCATTTTTTTACGACATTGGAACCGAGGTGAGAACAATTCCTGTACCAGGACAGATCTAATGTTCAAACCTGTCCCAGATTCAAAGTTAGCAAGAAAACGAGAGGAAAGGTCGAGGAAGCAGGCTGAGAGGGAAAGAGAGGAACGTGATAGAGTTGCCGCGCAACAAGCTAGGAAAATGACTACGCCTGAGAAGCAACCAGAAACATGTAAGCCACCTAGTCGAGGACCTCTTGAGCCTGTTGTATCTCCTTATGATAGATACGCCGCAAGACCGGGATCTTATGCTGATACTCCTGCTTTGAGACAGTTGTCCGAATACGCCCGACCACATGCTGCTTTCTCACCTGCGAGACATCCAGCACCACCAGATCCAATGTTACATTACATGTATAGCCCTGCTGCCCGAGAACGCTTAGAATTGGAACATTTAGAACGTGAAAAAAGAGAACGAGAGATTAGAGAGTTACGTGAACGAGAATTAAACGATCGATTAAAAGAGGAACTTCTAAAGGGAACACCTAGACCAATGCCAGCACCAGTGGATCCACATTGGCTAGAAATTCATCGACGTTACGCAGCCGCAGGACTTGCTCCTGGACCGTCGGGACCTCCTCAGGCTTTACACCAATTTGGTCTCTATGGAGCTCCACCTGGACCCAGTCAATTGGAAAGAGAACGTTTAGAAAGACTAGGTAACGTTAACTCTATCAGTAAGGGCCTATATTTTCCCCCAAAATGTGTATTTTCTTTTTTTTTTTTTTCTCGCATATTGGATTGAACGCAAAATTAGCTATGAATGAGTGATTTTAGGATTTCTCAATCCAGGTTGTTGCTCAGGGTTTCAGATGTTAGGTGTAACATTTCAAAACGTTGTTCCCATATTATTGTTGCATTACAGCTAATACGGTATCAAGTATATACAAACTTGAGTCGATAATTGCAAGTTGAAGTTATCAATATTAAGGAAGATTAATTAATTGAGGTTAGAGAATCAATTATTATATTTCGAATCCTATTCCTAATATAGTTAATTATGTTCTTCCAATTCCTAATATAGATAACTATGAACACAAAATCGGAACAATTATTTAAAAAGATAGAGCTCGCATCTGAGAGTTTCGAACAGCGATTATGATTTTGATTTGATTAAAAAAATTTGACCGAATTTAGGATCTAAATCAGCATTGCTCAAATTTTAATCTTGAAATTTTACTTTTGAAATTCATTTTGTACTAATGATTATTCTTTTTCTAAAATAAAATAAAATTATTTATAAATAAATAAAATTATTCAATGCCGATTTAGAAGTAAAGCGAGACAATTGTTGTTTTCAAATGTTAGCTGCCTTCTGTGTTTGTTATATAATTGTCGAAGTAATGATGTAAG